CATACCCAGATTCAAATTTTCTTGTAGACATAATTGTCAAAAATCTTGATATCTTAGAAATCTAAATAATAGGAAACACAATCAACATAAAACTAAACTTTCAAAAAAAAAATGTTTTGCTGAAAAAAAATATAGATTACCAATGGCTCAATATGCAATAATATGATTTACAGAAAAACAAAAATATTTCATGAGATGTCTAAATGATATGTCTTCAAGTGAAGGATTGCTAGATTGAAACTCCTGTATTACAACAAATTCATTTGTCAAACAATAATTCCATAAGAACTTTCAACTTTATGCATTCTATTTTATAAAATAATAATTTGAGGTGGCACCATTCTCTTTCCATTCTTTTTTAATTTTATTGTTTGGGACGTTCTGCCGAAGTTCTTCAATATTAATTAATCTAAGTGTAACATTTTTTTTACATTCCCGTCCCATAGCTATACAACTTCAATGGACCATCATAATTATTTCAATATCTATCATGATTAAAAAAATTAAATATATTGATATAGATTTTGAACCCTTAAACAATTTAAACTAAACTAATATTAACTGCAAGCAATCCATCAAAATAATTTTTCGGTTTAAGAACTACTTGAATTAGAGTACTGTACTTGTCTTAGAACTAGAAAACTTACAGTGTTCAGTGAGTTCACACAGAAGAATAAGACGATAATGATGCAGCTACGATGTCTTCTGCGTTTGAGCTGACTCGGAACGAGTTAGAGACAACGCTAAAGCGGTTGAACGAGTCGAAGTGTTGACCTTGAACAACCCTTGCAACTATTGCGAGTTACAAACCCGAACAGGAAGTCTGGAACTGAGAGAGAGAGAGGAACAGAAGAGTTAAGACGATGATGACATGATGTTTTCAGTTTTCTGGGTTTTGAACTTTTGATTTTTGAGGAAAAAAAACTTTTGATTGTTGCAGTCTTGCAGATTAGAGAAAGGGGGTAAGCTTAAGAGTTGAGTCTGTTAAGAACGAGAATGGAGATTGGATTTGGAGGTGAGGTTCAAATGATTTGTTACATTTACCCTAAATTTTTTTTTTTTTTTTTTTTTTTAAGGCCCATTAAATGATTTGTTACATTTGGTTACAAATTTTTTTTTTTTTGGTGGCCCATCATTCATGGGCTATAAATTTTGAGGCCCCTTAAATGATTTGCTGCATTTGGTTACAAATTTTTTTTTTTTTTTGGTGGCCCATCACTCATAGGCCTATAAATTTTGAGGCCCTTTAAATTCTAAGGCCCTTGGCGACTGCCTTGGTCACCTTGGGTTAGGGCCGACCCTGCCAATACTGCTTCTAATCTTTCTTTGATGGCAACAGTAATAATATATGACTGGATCAAGCTTTTCGGCTAAAGCTAACAACAGAGTGGTCTTTCACCTAAAAGCAATGTCATTCTGCAAAAAGACAAACTTCCTATGAACATGAAAATGGGAAGAGAATTGAACTAATCAGAATTTGATTCACGAATCGGACGGGGAGCACCAGGGCCTGTCTGAGATTCCAATTATTTTGAGAGGCGAACTTTCAAATGTGAGGCTCTTGAGTTTCACACGCGCAAAAAAGAATTATAAGAGTGCGATATTTTAACACGACGTTTTCAAATTCTATAGCTAATATAATTGTGTCCCTGTGCATTGTGCATAAGACAACTAACCAATAACTATAAATTTATCACCACCAACAAATAATTGTGCGCTTGTACAATGTGCATAAGACAACTAACTAATAAGTATAAATCTATCACCACCAATAATTAATTGTGCGTCTGTGCAGTGTTCTTAAGATAACTAACTAATAACTATAAATTTTTATCACCACCAATAAATAATTGTGCGCATGTGCAGTGTGCATAAGACAGCTAACTAATAACAATACATTTATCAATTAAAGAGTGAAATTTTCACAGGCACAAAATAAAAAATGAAGAGAACAAAAAACTGCAGCCTCTTTTACATTCATTGTTTATATAGCTATTAAAATTTGATGATAACAGATGACAAAAATACGTGGAGATGAGGTGACTATATATTTATATAAGAGGCTGAACTTGTAGTACTGAAGAAGTAGTGGGGCTTTTAGGTTATACGTGGCATCCACTGTCATATATAGTTTTGTCTTTCACTCTTTATATTAACTACACTACACTTTGTGTGTGTGTTTTTTGGGAGCCAATTACCCGTAGTGATTGATTGATCATTGCTACAGAAGACCTGTGCAAATTAATAGAAGAAACCATTAACTTTTGTTTTGTTAAAGCCTGCTCTTGATTTCCATGTGTTTGTACATTCTGATGGCAAGTACTATGACAGTATTATTAACTGAAATTCTAGCTGAGCCAACTTCAAATAACATCAATAATGGTGGTATGTATCTTCATATAAAAATAAAATAAAAATAAAAAAACAAACCCTTAATTTTGCACTTTTTAAGTATGAGCATAATTTAGAGATCGAAAAAGTTAATTATTACCTCAACCCACTCGAAGGGATCCTTAATTTTCGTGGGATTGAATGTGAAAATGCAAAAAATTATGAGGAAAAGGGGTATGGTTGATGCCGTTGTGAGATTAGAGTGGACTTAGGGAGAGGGAAAAAAAAAGTACCTGCCATAGATTATGGACTCGATCGCCATGAAAGACACATGTAGAAAGGCACACATATATTAAAATACTAAGAGAACCATAATATATTCATTCAGCTTTTGATAGCCATCACACACAGTGACACGAACAAAACCCTAGCTACTTTTCACTATTAGAACAAAGGTAAAGACCCGAATCAAACTAACCAAAGTTAGAACAAAACAATGATGAGATGAACGAAAGAAAGAAACATATATAAAAGATCGATTCATGCAAAAGGAGAGAGAAGAGACTGTCACAAGAGAGAGAGAGGATGAACATACCTTGTCACCTGAGGCGATAGCGGAGGCTGTGCCCTGGGGAGCGTCGAAGCAGATTGTGTCGTCTGAAACTTACCCTATCTTATTTTATTTTTTCCATCCCAATTTTGAGGCCCTCTAAAATCTGAGGCCCAAGGCGACCGCCTTGGTCTCCTTGGGCCAGGGCCAGCCCTAGCACAGACTCACCTGCAAGGCTTGATGATTCCACTAAGATCATGTTGAATCGTCATATGCTTCTTTCTACGTCGAGGCAGATTGTGTCATTTGAAACTTGCCCTGACTTATTTTTATTTTTTATTTTTGTCCATCCCCTATGGGCCTCAAAATTTGAGGCCCTCTAAAATCTGAGGCCCAAGGCGACCGGCCGCCACAGACTCACCTGCAAGGCTTGATGGATTCCACTAACATCATGTAGAATCGTCATATGCTTCTTTCAATGTTTTGGTATGAGGTTAACGGCAAGTTGAAATGGACTAAACGACCCCTGAAGTTAAGGGTGTATCGTAAAAAAAAAAACGTATGCAGTATTTTTCTAAAAAAATGTATAAAATTGTAATTTGTAAAAGACTTTAATACTCTTGCATGAAACTGCGTAATTTGTAAAAGATTAACATTAATACAAATAACTCATTTGACATGGTGTTGTTAAAAACAATTTTTGAATTTTTTTGTTTAAATGGATTAGATTTATATATATATATATATTAGAAGGGTCTATAAGAAAATGAAAATACCTAAAACTATTTTTACATTTTTTAAATTTTCTACTTTTAAAAATTAGAAAGAAAAGAAAACCTAAAATGAAAATCACTTTAAAGAAAACTTTTTAAAAAAAAATTATATTAAGGGGAATTTTTGTCATTATAATATCACTTTGATGGTGCTAAATTTTTAAATTTTTCTTATATTTTTAAAAAATTAGAAGGAAATAAATGAAAATCATTTTTAAAAAACCAAATTTAAAAAAATATATATATATATTAAGTGGCAATTTTACCATTATCAGATCACTTTAGTTTTTAACGCGCATTTGTGTGATTGGATCATTCCCTATGGGCTGGACTTGTAATTTTGCATCCAACCCAAAATGTTTGCATTTACAAATGCCAACAAAAAGTGGATCAGTCTGGCCCATCTTGCTGTCCCTTAATTTGGTCACATCTTCCTAGAAACTGAAAGGGACTTTTTCATAGCTTTTGGTTTGATTATGCCCTTCATTTTATGTTCAAACTAAAATGATGAATAAAAAATCATTGCTTCTTAAGTTTTGAATGGTTATAAACTTGGACTTGGTCTACGGTACAAACCCTTTTGACTAAATTACCCTTTTCCCAATTGCTTTTTACATATTGCCCTTAACGGACGTTTCATCAATCAGACATTCTCAATGATACAGACCCGTCAAAATAAAAAAAATAATACCGAAGTCTTACTAAAATCTATGGAGTGTGCTCCCTCCATAAGCATTGCTACCAAATGAAATTTTGATTACAGATAATACAAACAGATATGTTAGTTTCCATTTTATTAATAATTAATTGAAATAAGTTATTACAAAAGTACTTTTCACTATAAACTCGTGTATGTAATTGTTAAATCGAGAAGTTGAACTTAGTGCAAAATCAATCTTTTAAACTAATTGTTAAAAAAATTAAATCGGTCTTTGATTGAACTCAAACAATTTCACTTGTCACTATAAAAATTACAAGGCTTTTTTTCATTAAAAATTATAAGGTTTGATCACAAACATGAGATCAGTCTCCCAACCCAAATTTGTTAAAAAAAAAGAAAAAAAAGAAAAAAAAAAAAGAAAAGGAGTCAGGATCAGCAAAATTATCTTCAGTATATCCGAAGGGCAACTTTGGTCTTTCAAGAAATTGGTAAATGAAATTGGAACTGAGAGGGAGACTCTTGTGAGGTGGGTTTTTTATACTTTTATTGTTGTGGGTCCAACCACATATGAAGCCGTTACACCTCCCACAATTGCCACCGTGGAATACAAATTTTCAAACTTGTCGACCGTTACTTTCTTCTCCATCAATACACCTGCCTCTCAGCTCACTGCTCTTTTATCCATTTATTTCTCTCTCTACAGAAGAGAAGAAGATACCCGACGACAATGGCGTTCGATCTCGTATTCACTGACGAAGAGATGGCGATTGACGAAGGCCTTGGCTACCCAAAAGCCTACGCCAAGCTCTGTAGAGATCGCAGTATCAGTCCGTACATCAATGGCCCTCCTTTCACTTTCACTCCCTATGCTCTGCAACAACAAGAGGTGAGAAACACTCACTTTAATGGCCTATCACTGTTTGTTTGGTGTCTTAAAAAACCCAGGAAGAGAATAGTTTTTAAGAGTAGGAATTTTGTTTATGTGGGTTGTTTATGTTTTCTTAGTGTGAAAATTGAAGTTCATGAAAATTATAAATTTATATTAGACATGGTTGTATTGTGGATTCGGTTTATTGATTAACAAATTGAGTCAATTTTGAGATTTAATAATTTAGTTTTTCATCAATCACATTTTCATGGCAACAAACTCTGAATTTTGTTGTTCTCTCCTATTTCTTTAATCCTCTCTGGATTTCTGTGGAATTTTAAGACTTTTTGTGATTTTTGGAAGTAATTTTAATTCACTATGTGTTTTTGGACAAGAGAATTTCATGGAAATCATAACGCTTGTATTAGGCCTTTCTTTTTGCTCAAATTTTAGTTTCCAGACAATAAATTATAAAATGGTAATTGTTAGGAACTCAAAAGGAACCAAGTCAAGCCGATTATTTAATTACTAGAACATGTCTTAGGAAAAAGAAAAAAAAAAAAACTGTATTTGATCAAAATTTGCTCAAGCGCGAGTGGAGCTGAGTAATTGAGGGTTAGTCAAGAAATTGTGATTCGAGCTAGGCTAGGTAAGCACGAGATCAGTCAGTTACAAAGCCCAAATGACCTTAATAAACCAAGTGTTGTTCACAACAACTTATGAACATGTTCAAGGTTTTTATTTCGCAAATGTTCACAAATCTAAGGAGGTGAATTAAAGTTTTTCTTTTCTGGACTTAGACTTGTTAAATGATCCTGAATTACATTAGAAATGAACACGAGCCAAATCGTTAATGAGTGAGTGTGAGCTGTTCGTGAATAGCTCCTTTCACCGAAATTGTTACAGTGAAAGTAAATTTTTACTATGATTGTGTCTTTAATGTTTAGTTAGTCCAAATTCTGATAATTAGTTCTGTTTCTTTTTCACTTTCTGACTTTTGATAAATTTAAGGTTCAAAATTGTGGTTTTATTTTTGCTTTTTTGCAATTTTTTCACAACCCAATAGGAATTTTGGTGGCTCTTTCTTTCCCTATTGATTGTCATTTGAATGCAAGGAAATTTTTGTTGGTTTTATTTATGTTTGATTTTTTTTGAAATTATCTGGTTGTAGGCTTTGACAACAAGAGATTTAGATGAGATGTTCCCAATTATCGACCCAAAAGCGAAACCCACAGCAAAGCCCAAGATTTTTGTCAGTCTTCTGTGGAAACAACTCAACCACCTTGGGTAACCTCTTGAATTGTTCTCTACAAAAAAAATCTACGGATGTAATCAAATGGTTTCTAACTCTTTTTGCTATCTCAAAACTTTAGGAATGCTGGCTTTGATCCTGCAGTAATTCGGGTGGACCCATACGGCAATGTTTTGTATTATCATGCTGATTCTGCTTCACCCCTTGCTTGGGACATTGATCATTGGTTTCCTTGCTCAAGTAATTGTTACTGATCTTTATCTTTCTATGGATCTATGAACTTTCATATCTGTTTATCTATATATATTTATGGTGTGACGTCCCACATTGCGTGGGAAAAGTACTTGTGTAGACGCATTTTTGAAAACCATGAGCATGGTGCAAAACAGACAGATCTACACAGCTTTGGGCGAGAGGGAATGATTGTGATGTCACACATCTCCCGGGGGAGAAAGTTCTTGGTTTTGAAAACAGTTTTTTGCTGGATGTGCAGGGGGAGGATTGACTGTTCCAAGCAATCTAAGGATATTGCAGTGGCAAGTGGGCAAGAAGAAGCATAACAAGCTTGAGTTTCTCATTCCATGGTGGGATCTCCAAGTGGGTATATCCATTAACCAGTTCTTGTCTATCTTTGCTTCTTCAAACTCGGATTTCAGGTGGGAGCTTTTCTTTTTCCATCTTCAGATTGATTTTGATCCCAATTACGCAGAAGTGGTCTAATGGTTTCTTTAATTTAAAATTGTTGACAGGCATAGGGCATTTTCTCTGTTGTTTGCTGATGGTGAAACTGAAGAACTAAATGATTCACTGACAGTGGACTCACATACTTTCCCTCAACACTTCATCGAATCAAAAGAACGAATTGGCCTTGCTCCGGCTGCTGTTGTTTCATCTCGAAGAGAATCTTATGATTCTTCATCAGTTCTGAAATCCCTGGATATCAACAGAAGACCAAGGTCAAACACCCCCATAATAGGTTAGTAAAGGAAAATCAAATACTTCACCTTTATGTTACTTTAATGATAATTTTGAACTTCTTAAACTACTGCCTCATTGTCTTTCTTTGTTTGGCTGTGACAGCTTCAAGAAAATTAAAATTAAGTACATCGAAAGAAAATGAAAATCCAGACAATGTTACTAACCCATATCAGGCCATAGTCTTGGCCAGAGACTCTCTGAGACACAGAGAAGAAACTGCAAAGATGCAGTCAGAAATACAGAAGTTGGACGATGAAGTGAATGATTTGAAGCAAAGGGCTGAAGAGGAGAAGTTTGCCATCCAAGAACTGGAATTGGTGCTAATAAAACGAAGAAGGCGTGTTGAGAAGTGTCGTCGTCTAGCAGAGGCACAGTCTTCATACAGGGCAATGCTAGAGAAGATGATCAGAGATGCTATGCACCAGTAAGATTGATAAAAACCCTTTTTCAAAAGAGAATAAATTCATTACCAATTTGTTATGTAATCAAATCATTCAACCATTAAAATGCTTCTTCCTGCAGGAGTGTCATTTATAAGGAACAAGTGAGGTTGAATCAGGCAGCAAGCAATGCTCTCATGGCAAGACTAGAAGCCCAAAAAACAATTTGTGACTCCTCCGAGAAAGAACTGCATAGAAGGTTCAGACAAAGAGATGAGCTAGAGAAACAGATCAGGCCACAATGGGAGCAAGCAAGGAAGAGGTCAAGAATGGATGATACTTTTTATGAAGAGAAAGAAGATAAGACTGTTTTGTATTTACCAGGAAACAAGATAAGGGCATCTTCACCGAAGGAAATGGAAGATACTGTACTCAATGAAAAAGATGATAAACCTGTCCTCTTTTTACCAGGAACTGAGAATGTAGAGGGGATGATCCCTTTGCACAAGGAACTGAGAGTGTTTTTAGAAGAGGAGCAGAAAGCATCTGAAGCAGGTTTGTCTCTTAACGAAGAGCGGAAGGAAGAAGAAATAGAAGAGATAGGATGTGAAGACAACAATGTTGGTAAAGAGAAGCAGCCTGAGGAATGTAATAAAGCCATAGTTGCCACAGAGGATGGATTTCCAATTGAAGAAAAGCTCCGGACATTGAAGATAGAAGAGGGGGGAAAAACATACAACATTCGAATTCCTGTCATATGTGAAGCAGAAGTAGAGGAAGATGAGGAGAGCAGGAAGCAGCGTGGAAAAGGAAATGTGGAGAAGTGGCTCCAAATGCTGTTGGACACGCAAGAAGGTACTGATTCAAGTCCTCAAAATGCCGGTGGAAATGAAGCTAGTGGGACTGATGAAATGATCAGGAAGCTGAACCTCAAATACCCACAGAAAGAGATCAAGGTTTTGAGGTTTCCAGAATCACTAGATGTGGAGCGTGTGAAACAAGTTCATCAAGAGAAGAACCAGCAAATAGTCCAGACAAAAGACGCTGGGAAAAGGCAAGAAGAGATTGTCGAGACTGAAGCTAGTAGTAGTACTCTCCTAAAGAGTCCTCCCTACAAGTTAAAGGCTCATCAGGAGAAGAACCAGCAAATAGTCCAGACGAAAGATGCTGGGAAAAGGCAAGAAGAGATTGTCAAGACTGAAGCTAGTAGTAGTACCCTCCTAAAGACCCCTCCCTACAAATTAAAGGCTCATCAGGAGAAGAACCAGCAAATAGTCCAGATGAAAGACTCTGGGAAAAGAGAAGTAGAGATTGTCAAGATTGAAGCTAGTAGTAGTACCATCCTAAAGAGCCCTCCCTACAAGTTACAGATGGATAAAAGTGATGCAAATGAAGTGGATAGTGTTGGTAAAGGAGTGGGAAGTAGAAACAGCTTTGAAGGTAAGGAGAAAGGAGAGAAGAATGGGAAGGAAAGAGGACTTGAGAGGAGTGAGAGTGCCAGAACATTTCGGCGAATTCCATCTTCTCCATCTTTAATCTTGGGTGGTATGCGGAAGGGAGTGGATTGCATGAGAAAGAAGCCTTTGGTAATTGGTGATGATGATGGCAATGAGGATCACGCCACCGGGAACAGCAGCTTCATTAAGTCATCCATCAAGACAATCAAGAAAGCAGTGAAGATATAAACCTTTATTACTGTCTAATCATAGGAATTATATTGCATTTTTGTTTCTTGGTAAGTTCTGTTAGTTAAAGAGTCTAGCTAGCTCTTTTAGCTGAATAAGTGTGAGAAATTTAATTGTTCTACTGTGCTTGATTTGTGTATAAGTTAGATTGTGTGCCGGATTTGCAATAACAGCTTGTTGTTTTCACCCTTTTTTTTCCTCACTATCAGAAGTTTGAAAATTTTATCTCTATACCATATCTAAGTCTAACGGCTCTAAGAAGATCTAAACAAGGAATTTTTTTTACTCAAACGGCTCTATTTCAGGAATGTGGTAAAGCATATGCTCACAAGGTACTTGCATGTTTAAAAGCTTAAGCTATTGAGTGAGGCTAAATACGAATACAGTACCGTTTAAAAGTTTAAGCTATTAATCGAGGCTAACACTCGGCCCATATATACCCACTCACTCTTTTATTCAGATCCAATACGGGACAAATCTCTTCCTATGACAGTTAGACTTGTCATAAGATCAAGGCCCAAGAGAGAAAAGAATGACTCGAAGTTTTTTTAATTTTTTGTTATTACTGTATTAATAGGGAAAAATGTACACGGTTAGGCTGGGTATAAGATCCAGCCCAAAAGGAGAAAAAAGTTGACTCGGAAGTGTTTTTGATGTATTAATAGACAAACTGAACTAAATAAATAAAATTGTGAAATAAAAAAAAAAAACTAAATAAATAAAATTGTGAAAAAAAAAAAAAAAAAACTAAATAAATAAAATATGAACCGTAATAGAAAAGAAAAGTCAGCTGCTTTGCTAAAGGGGAAAACACAATGGAGGCGGTTAACTATCTAAATGTTTATTTAATGATAAGTTCAAAAAAAAAAAAAAAAAATCGCAGGGTTGGCAAATTCAAACAATTCCTTACTGACCAAGTATTATCGGATATATATATATACTTCATCTAACCGACTTTCTTGGACGTAAAGAAAAATATGTCTAATAATCAGAGTTCAGAGGTTTTCTGCGATGGTGAAACTGAAGAACTATGGGGGCTTGCTTGTCCTCCATGGGATGAAGAAGCTTTCCAAATCACCCAGCATGTTGCAATGGATCCTTCAAGGGTACGTATATACAATAATTTCGTTTTTCGTATACTTTTCATTGATCGATCATATTCTGAAAATTCTAAACTTACTAATTAATTTGATCCCACTTTTTCTTCTTTTGCATCTAATGGGTGGCCGATTGCAAATAAAGTTCTTTGATGACTTTGACGAAAATGGAAGTAAGTCGTCTCAATCTTGTTCAGTATATAATCATTTATATATGTTATTGTTGCCCTATTTGTTGCAGTGTTAACAAATTTCTGGGCATTGGGCTTTAAATAATGATTAATTAATTAATGATGAAATTAAACTTTGACGCATGTTCTATAGATATAAAGAAAAATCAACGTCACGGCAGAGGCAAGAATATCAACATACTCACCCAGCTTCTAAAGCCACCCACACAGGAGATCATGAAGAAGGCAGAAAAGCTGAATATCCCTTTAGATGAAGCCTCACTCGAATTTAAATTTGATTCTACCAAGAGGAAGCTTCGAGAAGCCTATCAAATATACGATAATGGTTTGTTATTATTTTGTGTGTTTGCTGTTTTTCACTTCCTGTCCTCCTCTCTTAATTTGAGTCTAAATTAAGGTATGCTTTTATGTTTTTTGAACAGCAAAAAAACAAAAGAGGACTCAAGTTATCGATTTTCGGAAACTTCCCAAGCAATGTCAAACAATACCATTGTGATGAGAAGTAATTAAGAGTAAGATCATTCATAAATTTAATTATTTAATTAACATATATCATATAATTTCAATTTCGTAAATTTATTCAGTGCTTGCTGAGAAATGGAACTAAAAGCATTCTTTAAAACAAACAGGTCACGCGGATCAAATGCTCATGAAGATGGAGATCCGTAGACCACTGGCCGTCAATGATGATCATAATAATGAAGATGAAGAGAAAATCTCCGGACACCATGTATATGATAATTGTGAAGAAGAGCAGGATGTTATCGTGTGCCAGAATTCAAGTTGCATGGCTCACTTCTAGTTTGAATAGGGAAGAATATATGGTATAGGAGGAGGATAGCTAGCCATGGTATAGTATAGTAATGCCTCGGGTTCACATTTTGTTTCCAGCTAATTCATGGAATTAAGTCTGGCATGTTCTTGTACATTAAACTCTTTTTCTTTTATATATCTCATCAGTAGACTTTTCCTACGACAATGGTAACTAAATCATTAGCTCATTTATATGAATTTTAAAAATCGAAACAGGCATGGCCTACACAATTGCACCCATACGTGCTATACAATTTTCTTTTCTTTTTTTTTTGGATGGTAAAAATAATTAAAAATTGGTAAAGTACTGGAACATCTCTCCTACAAAATTTCTGGTTTCATACGTTCTACATTAATAATTATGTGACTTCCTTGAAATGACTATAAGATCGAAGAAGAATTTAATCACATTGTGTTTGGCAACCGGAATCCAGGTCCTACCATACTAATTTTTCTCTAATTTTAGTATTAAGGTGTTAAATGTTGGAAACGGAGGCATTAAAAATATAAACTTTAGATGAGAATTGAAATAGATTCCGCTAATAATTTTTTGCGGATCTATTGACCAACGCGTTCCTCTTCGCAAGGAGATGAGCGTGGTATATTTACTTTCTCAAATCCGTTTCCGGGTGAATGAGAAATTAGATCCAAAGTGAGGTGTTTGAAAAACCTAAATGGAAAAAAATGTTGAAACCAATTAAAGTTTAAATAAGTCAAACTTGGGCTTGGGCTTGGATTGGGGCTTGGGCTTGGGCCTAATTATAAAGTCCGGATTATTCCTTTTATTAAATGAAATTTTGGATTGAGCCTATTTTTAGGGATGGGTTTCACAAATTGGTGGGTTTTTTGGGTGGTTAGTTTTTTGAATTAAAAAACTACTTTTTCGTTTTTCTAAAAAGTTACACATTTTAAATTAAAAAACCATATTTTAGTTTTTCTAAAGAGTTACACCTTTTAAATTAAAAAATCACTTTTTAGTTTTTTCAAAGGGTTACACATTTTTTCGAACCATCATAACCCATAGTTGCACGCACCCAAAAAGGCACCTTACTACCTATAAATACCCCCCTTTGGATCATTTACAAATCACACCAAATTCAGATAATTCTTCTCTTCTTCTGAGTTTTCTTCTTCCTCCTTCTCTCTTTACTCTGTGAGTTCGAACCTTAGTATTTGGGTTCGAGCCTTAGTCAGTCACTCCAAGTCTGAGTTCGAGTCAGAGAGTACTACACCGAGCCGGTTTGCCTATTCCTTTGGTTTGCAATGTTACTACCGAAGAAAGACAAGTCGTTGTATCCTAGGAGATAGACGTCACTGAGTCTGTTAGCACCATAGCGGGGCGAATCTGTCTTAAGGATATAGAATCAAATTCTAACCTCGACTTTTAATCAAGTTCTTTTATTTTATAGGTTTTATTTTATTATATTAAACTACACATTATAAGTAATTATATATATAGATTATTATTTTATAATAATTATATATATAAGCATTATATTATTTTATATTTACAGATAATATTTAAATAAATAATACTATAATATATGGTATACTTAGACCATGGTTTGGACAACATTAAATACTTACAATACTCCTGATACTTTACTCTATGATACTCCTAAGAAGGATCCTCTCCTCGAGAATCTTGGTGGTAGATTAAACAGGGCTCAATCTCGCGGTACAAATTAAGGCATGCTATCCTATCAAGTGAAATTTCAAGTGATACAGTTAATAAGAAGATGACCGGACTAAATATGGGTCACAGATTAAGCGTGCAGATCTAACACTGAAATTTTCAAACAAAGATCATTTCCGGTGATACTCCCTTCCAATGAAAACTTCTCACTTCTCTTGAAAACTCCCTATTTCTTTGAAAAAATAGAGTATTTTCATTAGGAGGGAATACTTTCTTTATTTACCATACCACAAAATACACGAGAGTAGTATATTATTATGCATATATGTTAACATAGGAAAATGATAGATGTTACAAATCCTTTTTTCCTGATATCTATCTTGATCAGATATGAGAACAGGCTTTAAAAAAGGAAAGAGTATCTTCTAATAATGGGCATCACCAAAAAAAAAAAAAAAAAAACACAGCTATAATCAAGATTAGGGTTTTGTCTTGTCTTTGTATGGTTGAAGATAAGACTAGACTAGAAAACCGAAGGATATCAAGAGCCACAAACTAATATTAGAGCCAATAACCAAAAAAAATTAAGTGCATTTAGAATTTGACCACAAAAATATGAAGGTTTATTTCATAATTACCATGATTGAGATCATGAATTTTAGACGAGCGCTCCCAATTAGGGTGAGGGCACTAAATTTTTTTTTTTTTTTACCCTTTTTCAATGGCTCCGAAACTCCTCGTGTGGGTCTTACAGGGTATTTGAGAGGTTGGAACTCCCACGGCCTCGCCAGGAAACGAGCAAAGTGGTCAGAAATGATATTTTTGCCCTTTTAAGCCTTAAAACAGGCAACCTTAAACCAAATTGTTTTCTTTCACTTACAAACGAACATAAGCAACTATATATAGCCTAGAAGACAGTTATATACTCCCCAATGCGTTGCACAATTCAAAAAGACCAATTTACCCTTGTAACCCTAAGTTACCCGAATAGTGACAGGGGTTGATTTTCTCATTCTTAAGCGATCTAAAATTATTAGAATTGACTTCATTTAGACTTCTAATGCCTTGTATGGTCATATAGATCATTTTACCCTTGGGTGTTTACGGGTCGGGTTGGGATCGGTTAGCGATCCAGACTCCCGGGTTTGGGTCGTTACATGCCGACACTCCTTTTCACTCTTCCCAATCTAAGACATAGCTACTCTCTTTTTTTTCCCTATTGTGGTGGATCTAGGCTGGCTATGGCTTTTTTAACTTCTTTTTTTTTTTCTACTCTGGTGGTGGTCGTTGTGGTGTGGTTTAGGTGTGGTTGTCGTGGTTATTGTGTTGTCTAGATTATCAAGGTGTTTCAAAATATTTATTTTTTTTTTTTCTATTTTGGTGGTGGTGGTGGTGATTCTGGTAGCGTCTGGGTGTGGTGGTGGTTCTGGTGTTTTGGTGTGGTGGTAG